GTGACCTGGCTGGTGAATGGCCGAGCCGGCTGTTGGTGGAACCCGTGCCACCTGGCTCCTGTCTCTCCACCTGGGCAGGATGGGCCCCGATTCAGGTCACCAGCATCCGAGGGCTGCTCTCTGGCCCTCCCCCAGCCAGATCCGTCCTTGCCAGGGGGCAGTGAGGACCCTGAGCCGGGAAGGGGTCTCACCTCCCTAGACTCCCGCTAGGCCGTGGTCAGGTGTGGAGGCCCGGGCCTTCTTTGCCCAAATGGCCCTGAGCCAGCTTCCCGCGTCTGGTCACACCCTCCTTGGTCTAGTGGGCTCTGTCCATTGCTGGTGTCATGGAGGTGGCCTTGAGGGTGGAGGTCAGAAGAGCACGTGAGTGCAGATTGGCCCCTTGCTGTGCTGTCCAGGGGGAGGGGAGGGGTGGGCTCTCCCTCCTCACTCCATGTTCCGCCACGGACTCCGATGATTCTAAATATGAGCCTGTCCGGGCCTTCAAGGTCATTATGAAGGCATGTTTCTCAGAATAGAAGGACAGAACATATTTTATTCAATAGCCCTGATTTATAACTTTTAAATATCTAGAATAAGCATGAGATCCTCATTTAGACTCTTGCCTGGGGCCCCAGCATGGGAAGGGAGGGCCTTTGCATCACCTTGAACTGAGAGCCGGCCAGCCCAGGGATGGCTTGGCCCCACACGGAGGCCTGTGGCTTAGAAGTCAGAGGAAGGCACCTCTTCCCCCGCCCACCCAGCACAGTGGTGGCTTGAAGAGTGGCACTGTCTGTGGGACGTTGAACTGGGACTCTCCCCCCTCTGCAGGTGGCAGTTTGGCCTGGGGATGGCTGCGTTTCTGCCTGATAGTTCACAGAACCAGCAGGAGCCCTGGTGAGACCCAAAGGGAAGGTGTGGGCTCTCTGGGCTCTCAAGCTGATGGTTAGGCATTTTTCCTGTTTAATAATCGCCCTCATCACACTAGAGGCGTCGCTTGTGTTTCCTTTATGCCCAGTGCTCTGAGCTTTTCACCCGGGTTGTGCGGTGGCGATGTCAGACTGTGGGGGGAGCACATCAGTGTACCCACTGCATAGATGAAGAATCAGGCTCCAAGAAGTCGGGTCTGCCTCTGGCCCAGGGCCGGGTAGAGTATGGCACTTGAGTCCGTCAGCCCAGCCACGGCTCTGCACGGCCCTTTGTCATTTTTAGAAGCATCCCTTATGCAGTCAGCAAGCGTTTTCCACCTTCTCCAGTGTGTTGGGTACTGAGGGTGCAGGGCCACGTAGGACCAGGCCCCCTGACCCAGGAGCAAAGACAAGTGGAGCACGTAACTGGGGGACCCATTGAGGAGGGAGTGTCAAGTACCACCAAGGTGCTTAGGTCACTGGAGGTCCTGTGAGGTCAGGGGGAGCTTGTTCATGTCTCCTGTGGGCAAAGTTGGTGCATGAGGAAGTGGGCACCAGGAGGTAGTGGGCACTGGGAAGAAGTGGGCCCGGGAAGAAGTGGGGCCCGGGAAGGGCTGGGCGGGTTCCTCCTGGAGGACCAGAGTTACGTCATCATCTCAGGCCTCTGCCAAGAGGGGAGGGGCTAATATCTACCCTGCTCGAGTTTTCAAAGTCAGGAAACTGAGATTCGAGGGGGGAGAGCAGGGCGGTCACACCTTTTCGGCAGGCTCCGTTGGGATGGGCCTCTGCAGCCCGTGCTCCTGCCCCTTCCCAGGGCTTTTTTCCCAGGAGGGGCAGAGTCGCCACTGAGCACTTTAACTTTTGAAAACAACGTGGTGCTTTCACCAGTTACAAGCACATGTCTGGTTCCCCCAGCTGGTAATCCCTGCTCGCGTACAGGTGTGTGCCCTGGATGCTTCGCAGAGAATTCACATGTGTCACCTTTCCTGGTCCCCAGGGCAGACCTCTGGGAAAGGTCCTGCTGCTAATCCCACTGTCCAGATGAGAAAATGAAATGATTCCCAGGGCTACCCAGCCAGCGAAGGGTTGGGTCTCACACCCGGATTCTATGCAATGGGTAGCCATGGCAGAAATTTGGGAAAACCACAGAGAAAGCACCCCAAAAGAGAATGAAGACAACTCCCATTCTGTAGTCCAGAAGTGGAATGCCGACCCCTGGACCGATTCTCCTAGGAGTGCGTGGGTGCATGTGAGCCCAGGAGACATGCTTAGGCCCCGGCAGGGCCCTGCGGTGATGCTATTTTGTAAACTGACGCTACCATTTAAAAATCACCTTAAAAAGACCTTCCCGGGCTGGTCTCCACAGGGACACTCTAGCTTCTAGGATCAGGCCTGGAACTGCAGGCGATTCAGCCGTGGTCCGCAGACGTGGCCAGGCAGCCCCGGAGACAATACAAGGCAGCGCATCTTCACAGCCTAGGATTGTTTTGTCCCTGTTTTCCTGCCCCTGTTCTTGTAAAATAAATAGATAAATGAATGAATAAAATTTAAAACACACAGACCTCCCCAGGATGTATTCCATGCCTGGCCCTGCATCTCAATGCAGGAAGCAGAAGGCTTGTGAGCTATAAATAGCACCAGCCCCTTCTGCACCGTGGCAGAGCGTTTGTAGGTTCTGTCTCCTCCCAACCTGGTGACCTGGATTACTTCCTTCCTGCGGTCGCTGCTTTCCTTGTGGCCTCCTCTGTCCATCCTTCCCAGAGCAGAGCACGTCCTTCTCTGCGAGGAGTTAGCGAGCACCTACCCTGGGCGAGGCCCCATCTCACAGCGTGCCCCGGGGGGATGCACATGGGCACAGATGTCCACGGGGGAGGATCTTCCCAGGTATGGAAGTGCACAGAGGGCTCCCCAGCTCTGCAGGTCAGGGAGGACTTCTAGGGGGAGCGGAGGAAGGAGCCCAGGGAGGAGGTGGCCCAGGAGGAGTCTGGGTTCATTGTCATGCTACGCAGGGCCTGGCCAGAGCCAGCCCTTGCTGCTGTTGAGCAGGTGGCATGTTACTTGAGAGCACGTCCAGAGTTCCAGCGGTGGCTCCCGAGACTTCTGGAATCCAGGGTCTCTGCTGAGGAAGAGATGTCCCAACCTGCTCTGTGCAGAAATTTCTGTCTGGAATCTGGGTCCCGAGCCCCACCCAGATCACTTCATTAAAAAATCTCCAGTGGAGGGGCTGAGGACATAGCTCAGTGGTAAAGCACCTGCCTAGGATGCATGAGGCCCTGAGTTCCGTTCTCATCGCTGCAGAAGAAATAAACAATAACAATAAAAATTACACACACACACACACACACACACACACACACACACACACATAAAAATCTCTAGGGGAGCCTGGAAATCTTTCTTCACATGCTCCCAGCTGGGATTCAGGGTGCCTATCCAGTCTCCATCTGGGGACCACACCTCCGTCTCCATTCCCATCTCCCTTGAACAGAGGAGGGGGCTCATCCTCCTTCCTTCACCAGGCAGCAGGCTGCAGATAGTCCCTCCCCTGTGCCAGAGTCACCGTCAGTGTTAGTCCTAACAGAGTGAGGATGTCAATAACCCATACTTGTACTCCTCCCTGTTGCCCATAGAGTATTTAATCCGGGAGGCAGAAGGTACACATTTTAAATTCAGACAGAACCTGGGCTTAAGCCTCCCGCCCTCTCTTTATCCTCCCCTATCTGTTCTTAAGTGGCCTAACCTCTGTGCGTCTTGTGTCCCCAGGTGGTCGATGGAGATGGTGATGGTTCTCACCTTTCAGGTTGTGGGAGGGATTAAGTGACTGGGAGATGTTCCCAGTGCAGTAATTTATGGTTGTGAACCCTGTGGCTCTTCTGTGGGGCGTCTGCCTGGTAAATTCAACATTCAGGAGGTTTTTATTGAGTGTTAATACACTCCCAGCCCCACTCCAGATGGTGGGCCTATAGGGAAAAGTTCTCACTCAGCGACAGTTTTTAGGAGCCTTTGATTTTTACAATGCAGATGGGGCAGATAGCGAGCTTTTACTGGTAAGAAGATAAAGGTCAGAAAATTGGCAGGATGGGAAGGGTGTTTAGTCCACTCCCACCTTCAGCAGATTTTTGTAAGAGTGAGTATGAAAAGGGAGGAAGGGGGGAAGGCAGGAAGGGGGGAAGACAGGAAGGGGCAGACCCTCTGCCACCATGGTTCCCTCTGGGCCAGGCAGTTTAGGGACAACATGGTGGAGACACCAGAGAAAGGCGTCACCAAGGAGCACAGGTGACCTGGCTCTTCAGCCAGCTCTCCAGGGCTGGGTTGCAGACCCCGTGCAGCCTGACCTTCCCCTCTGCCCCCTCATCTGCAGATGCAGCCAACACCTGGTCCACTGTCCACATCCCCACGCCACCTTGAGTCACGGCCCCGCTGGAATTGTGGGGCCCAAGGCTGGCCCTGGGTGCTGTGAATGCCCCCAGCATGTGGCCTTCTTTCTAGCTAAGGAAATGGGGTGTTTGCCCACCGTGTTCTTTCTCCCAGGGGAACGGGCTGTGTGGCCTTCTCTCCTGCCCCTGGGTGAAAGAACTTGTCCCTGATAAAGCAACCTCCGTCATCAGCAAGGAAGTGAGGAAACTGTCATAGCTAGAGTCCCTGTAGTCACACAGAGGGGTGTGTGTGGCTGGAGAGGTGGGTCTCTCCCGGTCGGGTACATAGACTTACGTCTTGTACAGGAGAGAAGGTCGGGGACCACTGGGGCCCTTCTCCGAGCTCTGTCCCTGGCATGACCTCGGCTTCCTGTTCCGTCTCCTCTTTGTGCTGCACTTCATCTATCAGCTGGAATCGAATTCCAGTGGCCCCCGACAGTGGAAAAACCCAAGGTTGGGAGTCACGAGACCACGGTGTAGGCCAGCGCTGTCCATCAGAGATGTCTGTGGTGACGGGGGCGTTCTGTGTTTGTGGTCCCCACAGTGGCCACGCCGTTCAGCACTGGAAGTGTTGCTAGTGCAGTAGCGCCTTATTCTGGAAAAGTTTGATGAGCATCAGTGGCCACATGTGGCCTGCAGCGGCCATATTGGGCGATGTAGCTGTAGGCCCAGCTCTGCAGACACCGAGCTGTGACACCTGAGGCCGGTGTCTTCTCTCCCTGGGCAGGTGAAGGATGCCAGTAAGAGAAACCAGAAGAGAGCCAGCGAGGACAGAGACTGGGTCTGGGGTCGATTTCTGCTCTGCCAAATCCCACGGTCAAGCCACTCAACCTTTCTCTGCCTCCGGCTCCTGATTTATAAAGGGGACTGATCATCAGTGATGTGTAGGTGAAGTCCATGTCTGGAACCAGTTTTCACTGGTGTTGTGGATGCCCGTGTTCACCTCTTTGGAAAACTCTGACAATGTTTCTGCTGCAAATGATGATAAAATGCTTATTTTCAGGGCTGGAGTTCACCACTTTGAACTTCATGTAACCATGTAACAGTTGTTCCACTGAACACCTGTCCTTTTCCACCCCTGGGGAAAGCCAGCTCTCAACAGATTTTCAGGGGAATCCGAAAGTTTAAGAGCTCTGGAACCGGAAGTCACCGCCATGTGGAGGGACTGGGTGAGCTCAGGGAGACAGAGGACTGCGACCCGGACTGCCAGGATCCCAGCCCGGCCACCTCCCGGCTGCGTGAACCTGGTGGATGTGCAGCCTTCCTATCTGTGAGATGGGGACAGTGAGAGACCGATGGCCTGGGTCGTGGGATTAAGGAAATGACGCACGTTACTCATGTGGCGAGGCACTGTGGCGCTTCTGTCAGCGTGGCCACCATCTTTATCAGCGCCGCCCTCCTCCTCGCCCTGGTTCCGTCCACTGTGTGGCAGGCCTGTGCTGGGGGTGAGTGTCTCCCAAGGTCCCCTCCCCTGCCTGCCCTCCAGCCTCCCCTCCTAGGCCCCCTGTTCTGCTCAGCCACTCGCCTCCCAGTTGCTCATAGAACTTACCAGACGTAGTGGGCGGGGCCCTTGCCTTCCTTGCCCTGTGTTGGCATCGCGCCCTTCCGCCCCCACTATGGGCTCCTTCCAGGGCTCACTGTGGCGAGGTCTCCCTGGCCGCTCTGTCCCCTCCTTCTGACCCCTGCATTTCGTGTGTCCTAGTCATATTTGGTGTTGGCCTGCCTCTCCTAGAGGAGCCCCTGGGCGAGTTCCCGGCCTAGAACATCAGGCTTGATGTCATAGGAAGTGCCCAGCGAGGGCGGGAGCAGCGCCCAGCCCACCTGAGGAAGGCCCCGGGGGGCTCTCAGACCCCCAGATGTCCGCTTGCTCAGGTTTTCCATAGGCAACATTTCCCACGCCCCCTCTGTGCCGGGAAGGTCCCTAGGTCCTGGGGATAGACGGCGAACACCTGTGTCCCCGTCCTTGCCCGTGGGCAAGGGGGACCATGGCCTAGTTCCCTTCCAAGCACTGTGCTGCCGTCCAGTCTGCTGCCTGCCATCCCAGACAGGAAGCTCAGTGGACAGGGCCTCACCTGTGTGCCCCGGGACGATGGCCGGCACATACACGTGGCCCCTGAGCTTGAAGGAGCATACACAGCAGGCAGCGGGTGCACCAGCAGGAGAGTCTGGAGGTACCAAGGAGGGTGGCTGCGGGGAAGCACGGGACAGAGCCGTGGGGAGTCACACCAGAGGAGAGGACCCTTGTGCCCCTGGCCTCTCACCTGGCCAGCCGCGAGCAGCTTAGGAAGGACGGGAGGCTGGTCGCTTCCCCTCCCTTGGGAGGCGGTGGCCCTTCTCTGCTTCAGCTTCTGCCTGAGCTTCTGTCCTTGAAGTTAAAAATAGCCAAGGATGGGAGTGCAAGGACACCCTGTCCTCTGCCACCAAGCAAGGATCCTGCCACCTCTCCTCCAAGGGGCTGCGGGGCCTGAGTTTGAGAATGCAGCGGCTTAAAGAACCCGCCCTTCCCGCCCCCTGAGACAAGCGTCACCCTCTTTCCTCCGTCTGGCCTGACTCTAAAGGAGCTGGAGATGTCACAGCTGGAAGGCTTTCTGGGGTAGGCAGACATCTGGCAGGAAGCCCCATCCTTCTCCAGGCCTGGGACCTTGGCAGGCATCACCAATCAATCATGACACCCTGTCCCAGGACCGTAGCAGGCGTCACCAATCAATCATGACACCCTTTTCTGCCAAGTCGACACAGTCTAAGAATTCTTAACACAGGATATTTCAGGCAACAGCTACCAGAGTTGGCAAAAAAAAGAGAGGAAAGCTATTTATCTTCTCCAATCTAGACCATTCCCTTCATGGTGGGGAAACTAGAGCTCAGCGTCTTATGTCACAGTGGAAGTCAGTAATGGAGCTGGGACCAGACCCAGGGGTTCCGAGTCCTGTGCGGCCCCCTCCCCTCGTTGCACCCTCTTTTCCACCACAACCGAGGCTCAGGGTGTGGAAGAGTGGCTTTCAACTCATGGACCGCAAACCCCGGGTTTTCTGCGACATATTGTGTGTATGTGCCGCAGGTTCTTTTCTAAGGAGAGGAATAGCTTCAGCAGCTCTCTAGAGGCTCCCTGCATGGCCAAGGAAGATGAAGAAATCAGCAAAGAGTGAGCCTTCTACTCAGTATGGAGGCCACAGACCGCAGCCTTGGCCTCACCTACCCGCTGCCGGAAGGGCAGCTGCTCAGGCCCCACCCAGACCTGGAGAATCAGAATCTGCATTTCAGCATGATTCCTGGGGGCTGCATTTGAGAGGCACAGGGCTGGAACTCACCCAGCCTCCGTTTCTGTATGGAGTACCGGGGAGGCCAGGCACCTTCCCAGTCGATGCGGTAGGCATGGGCCCTGCCCTCATTGCCCTCATTGAGAGAGCCAAGATGGGGCCCAGCTGTTCTGCAGCTGTGCTAGGACCAGGTCAGGGCAGGTACTTGTTTGCATGGAAGATAAAAGATGGTGCATCCTATCCAAGGAGTAGGAGACCCCAGCCCGGATCAGGCAGGCATGTGGAAGTTGGCCCCATGAGCTGTTGTTCTGCGGAGTAGTTCGGAGAGGTACTGGTTTGGGGATGTGGAAGAACTGAGGGGTCCACAGGGAAGGTGCTGCCTAAGGCCAGCATGACCCGCAGCCTCGGGTGGGGCGGGTTTACTCTGGTGAGTGCTGCAGCCAACAGGCCTTAACCCATCCCCACTGATCCCCGTCTCCAGGGTCTGGCAGGCTGTAGGGAAGCTGGCCCTGTGTCAGCTGAGGAAGGTGGCAGTGGGGAGCCTGAGGCACAGACAGATAGAAGGCTTGCCCTGTGGGGTTGGGAGAAATGCATCCAGTCCCTCCCAGCCCACCCCCTGCCCCACATCCGCAGTTCCTATGTGCTTCATTGCTGGTCTCTTGCTGGGCTGCTGCCTCCCTGCCCCTCCCGTGGAAGGAGCCTCCTCCCACACCCCACAGTACTTCTTCCTGACCTTCAGGGTCTGTGTAGTGTAGGAGTTCGGACCCAGGTAGGGAGATGAGCTGAGTTTGGAATATATATAATATAAAAGCTTTATGGAGACATCCTCCACATATCCTACACCTAATACAAGTGCACAATTCACTGAGCTTTAGCATATTCCAAGTTGGGCAATCACCGTCTCAATCAATGGCAGAACATTTTTGCCACCCATTAGCAGTCACTTCCTGTTTCCCCTCACTTACGTCCCTGCCAATCACCAGTCTTCTTTCTATCAGTACACATTTGCCTGTGATGGACATTTCATATAAATAGTTACAGAGCCAGGCGCAGTGGCACACACCTGTAATCCCAGTGGCTCCGGAGGCTGAGGCAGGAGGATCGTGAGTTCAAAGCCAGCCTCAGCAATCGTGAAGCACTAAGCACCTCAGTGAGACCCTGTCCCTAAATAAAATACAAAATAGGGCTGGAGATGTGACTCAGTGGTTGAGTGCCCCTAAGTTCAATTCCCGGTACCCACCCCAAAATAGAGTTATAGAAGGTTTTTGCAGCTAGCTTCTTTCCCTTGGTGTAATGTGGCCAAGGCTCATCTCTGCTGTAGCATGCATCACTACTTCATTCCTTTCATGATTGAGTAATATTCCATGGTATGTGTACACCACATTTGTTCATGTATTCACCTGTCAATGGACATTTGAGCTGTTTCCACCTTTTGACTATTGTGCCTACCGCTATCATGAACATTTGGGTTCAGCTCTGATGGCATCCTTTGCCATTCTGTCTTTGCCACTTAATTGCTGTGGACTCCTTGACAAACCACTTCAGCTCTCAGAACCTCAGTTTTCTGAGAGTTTCTGGGAATTGGAGACGTGAATGCCTCTGAGTATTGTTGATAATAGTAGCTGTACTCTACTGAGTGCTCTTACCTTCTTGTGACAGGCACTGTACATCTGTTGTCATTGAATTCGGCCCCACAGGGGCATGGGAGGGTTAATTTCATAGTGAGGGTGTATCTGTGCTAAAACAGGCCAACATGCCGCCTGATAATAAGAAATCACCTGCGATGGAAGGGTTCTCTTTCCAACCTCCCCACCTCCCCTGTACCTTTGGCATTTTCATGTTATTAGAGCCATATTTCCTTTTAAACATTTTTTTAATTGAAGTGTATATATAGACAAAAGTACAGTGCTACAAGAGCTCGCCCAAGTTTCATCTTCCCTGTTTCCTCTCCACCATGGGAATAACGTGTCCCAGTAGGACTCGCTCCTTCACCCTCGGTGCCAGAAGAATTCACGGGGCACGGCCATGGCTAACTCATAAAGGATGTTTAATATGAGCAAGAAATAAACCTTTGTCCTGTAAACCACTGAAGTTTGGGGTCACTTGTTACCGCAGCATAACCCGGTGAGAGCTGACTAATACAATTTAATCCTTATGAGTGTAAGTGATGGGTTATGTTATTTCTAATTTATAAGGAAACTGGGGCTCAGATAGGTTCAGTAACTTTCTTGAATTGGCTCAGAGAGTGGCAGAGTGATGCTTCAAGTCCCATACCCCGTTACTCAGGCATCAGAGCCCATGCTCTTAAGAAGACGGAAGTACGTGGGCTGTCTGGTGACGGGTGAGTAATCCCGTGTAGACGGGACACCTGGTAGGTGCATGGCATCAGACTTGTACTACAGGTTTGGGGCGAACCCTGGAAGTCTTGAGTGCTGTGTGATGTGAGGCCTCGGGTGCCAGGTGGGGCTGTACACTGTGTCTTTTGCCCACGGTCAGCTTCTTCCAGGGCATGTTCAGGGGCCCCAAGTCCTGGTAGGAGTGGCTTCCTGGGGACAGCAGCTGTTTGTGGTGTCCTTCCAGTGACAGCCCCAATGCCCCTTCTTTAGAAGGTCTCCACGGTGGCTGGAGCAGTGGGTGACTTGCCCCGGCAGCCCCCCACCAGATGCGTTTACTTGACAGTCAGGCGTCCCACCCTGCCTTCCATTTGTGTCCTACGGTTTGCCTTCTCTCCGCCCAGTTTCCATTTGTCCACATAACCTTCACTGTACCAGAAGGCAGCACTTGCATGTGAAAGATGATTCTATTTGCAATTAAGTATAATTCAGCATTGAAACAGTCCTCCTTCCAGCCCAGAGCCTGCCGGTACCTGCAAGACTGGATTCATTCTCGCTCTCAGCAGCCCCCATAATATTCTGCATCTCTCTCCCCCTCGTACTCTACTACTTTGTAATTATAACACCTTGGATTATAATTGCCCCTTTGCTTGTCTGCCTCTTCTGGTAGACTGAGAGTTTGAGCAGAGTCTGGGTTTAAATCACCTGTGTTGTGAGTCCCCAGCACAGGCTCTGGCACTGAATAGGCAATTAGTTTACAGAGTTGGTGGAATGAATGAAAATTACCTGTCGGTCTCGTCTCCCCTTCCCCCTCCACTACCTGTTAGCTCCTAAGGACAAAGATGGTCTTATTTG